TGCGTAGAGTGGGACAATTACCTCCTGTGGCTTACTTACAACATTCCTGTTAATACGCCCCAGAATGATATTTGCCTTTTTTGCAACTGCATCATATTGTCAAAGAAAAAAATCTAATAATTGGATATGTACATCCCAAAAGAGAGCAGTGTGTTATTTTCACATAAATAATCCATTTGCAATATGGACTCTGTACCCTCCGAGAAACAGAAGCTCTGGCACTGGTTCAGATTTCCTGAAAAAAGAGCTCTTAGCACCTCATTAAACATGAGGTGGAGTTTTCCTTTTTCATTTCTCCTTGAACTCTGTTAGTAAATCTTATTCTAGCGGTAAAATGTTTTGGCAGACTATTATGGGATGCATTTTTGCTATCTTAAAAGAAGTAAATATGTACCTAAAATGCAATGTTCACACTTGTTATTAATTTAACATTATAACGATTTTGAAAGCTCACTTCATCCTTAACTACATGACAATGCAAGCACAGATCTTTCCTCTGCAAGGAAGGAGAACAGTAGAATGAGCATTTCTTTGCAGACCAATATGTTTACAATTGTGTCCCTTTCCCAAACTGCTGTTTCACTCTCAAGGTCAAGATACATTTACAATCAGTGGCAGGAACCAAGGGGCCTGCCGCACTCTGCTACAGTGAGCTTTGCATCAGATCCTTCTTTTCCAGAAACAGGCAATACCCTAAGATTTGTGGAGAACGCTGGCTCTCAGCACTCTCCAGCCCCTGTCTCCCTGAAGAAGCTGTGTTTCCAGGGAATGCATCACACTTCCTGCTCCTGGAATTCCCTCTGAGGAGGGGGACACTAGGCTGCAGTAGGGAACCCAATGTTAGTTTACCAATAGAAGAGAAGCAGAGGTGAAGGTGTGGGGGAAGAATACCACAGGGCACAATCAAGTTAGTCCCATCCCCACAAGCCAACTAATCCAAACCATACAGTGGTGCTATGTCTACACTGCAGTCCAAGGTGTGACTGGAGCTTGGGTAGACATCTCCATGCTAGCATTGCTAAAATTGGTGTAGATACAGCAGCGTGGGCTTCAGCAGTGCAAGTAGGCACTCAAGGTGCTAGGTGGGCTTGTGCAACTGCACTGAAGCCCACACCATCGCATCTACTCTGCTATTTTTAGCACTGCTAGCATGGGTATGTCTACCAAAGCTGCAATCACATCCCCTTAGATTGCAGTGTTGAAACATTAAATGAAGAGGGAACAAAGCATTTTGGAAGCAAAACTCCCTCTTTTCACAAGTGCCATCCCCACAAGTGCTGGAGTACAGGGAGCATTGGAACTCATAATCATCTTCATAGGTGCTGTGTAATTCATAGAGTTCAAAGCCAGAAAGAGCCACTGTGATCATTTAGATTGACCTCCTGTATAACACCTGCCATAGAAGTTCCCCAAAATAATTCCTAGACCATATGTTTTAGAAAAACTTCCACTCTTGACTTAAAAATTGTTGGTGATCCACCATGACCCTTGATAAATTGTTCCAATGGTTAATAATTGTTCAAAATTCATACCTTATTTTCAGTCTCAATTTGTTTCAGCTTCCAGCCATTACACCTTTGTCTGCTAAACTGAAGAGCCCACCATTAAATATTTGTTTCCCAAGTTGCCAGTTAACCATCTCTCTATTAAGCCAAGTAATACAATTACTAAATAATAGTAATATGCAGTAGCTTTTTGTTTTGATATATTATATTATATTATATTATATTATATTATATTATATTATAAATCAGTGTTCTCAATCCGGCCTCTTATTTCAAGAGAAGAAAAAAATCAGCCCATGATTTACCAGTTATCTGGAAGTCTGCACTGAAGGAAATTAACATAAACTGGAAAATGTCACTTTCATTGTGAAGATAATTGAAAAAAATGATGGGCTGTTGGAGTTCATAGGAAAGATATGTAGACTCATGTCTACTTAAATTATAAATCCATACATTATTGAGCTTGGAAATGTACACAGTCTAAACATTAACTTATCTTGGAATTCATATGTAAGCTTCTGAATTCTTAAATCAAATAAATCATTTTAAGAACATAGCAATCAGCTTTGTCCTGTTTCTTTTAATAACAGCACCCATAAAAGTAAAAGAGTTCTGGGAGTGAAATAACAAAACAAAGTAAATTCCTACAACAGTTCCTGACTTGTAGAGCAGTCCCGGCTAATGACAGTACACAGCCTGAATCACCAGTGATCTGCTAGGGCAGGGGCTTTCCACCTTTCCAGACTACTGTACCTCTTTCAGGAATCAGATTTGTCTTGTGTACCCCAAGTTTCACCTCACTTAAAAGCTACTTGATTACAAAATCAGACATAAAAGTACAAAATCACAGCACACTATTACTGAAAAGTTGCTTACTTTCTCATTTTTATCATATAATTATAAAATAAATCAATGGGAATATCAATATTGTACTTACATTTCAGTGTATAGTAGTATATACAGAAATATAAACAAGTCATTGTCTGTATGAAATTTGAGTTTGTACTGACTTCGCTAGTGTTTTTATGTAGCCTGTTGTAAAACAAGGCAAATATCTAGATGAGTTGCTGTACTCCCTGGAAGTCCTCTGCGTACCCCTGTTTGAGAACCATTGTGCTAGGGTACATCTGAGAATGGGCAACAGGGTACAGAGAGACTCTAAAGAGGTGTTCAGGAGACCCCAGCATTGCAACTATCTCCATGGGACCATACAATGGGGGTCTTAGGTAGGCTGTAGGTGCTGCTAGTTGATTTACTAGAAAGCAACAAAGAGTCCTGTGGCACCTTATAGACTAACAGATGTATTGGAGCATAAGCTTTCGTGGGTGAATACCCACTTCGTCAGACGCATGATGTCTGACCAAGTGGGTATCCACCCACGAAAGCTTATGCTCCAATACATCTGTTAGTCTATATGGTGCCACAGGACTCTTTGTTGCTTTTTACAGATCCAGACTAATACGGCTACCCCTCTGATACTTGATTTACTAGCTGCATCATTCAGTTACCTAACTCCTGTTTGGGGCAGCCTGCAAGCCATGAGCTGTAGTTATTATCTGCACCATGCACACCAGTTGTATTGTGTTCTCTGCACATACTCAGGATTACTGCTCACAGCCCATTTACTCTGCCTTTGCACAGGTGATGTGAATTGTGAATTATTAGTAATGTTTTTGCTCCAGGCATTTCTAACAAACACATGATAACAGCATTAATTAACTACGCTGTACTTTGTGATCCACTTGTCAAGCAGCTAGAAGCCAGCTGTTTATGAAGTCTTGTACCATGTGGAAAGCAAATAAACAAAGAAACAAACAGTACACCACCAGCATCATGGGGAGTCACAATATACATAGGAGGCTGTAAAACCAAACAAAACCAATTCTGGGTGTGAGGGTGTGCATGCACACACATTCAGCAGTTGATGTTATGTAATAAAGGTTTTATCAGCAAGAGTTTAGTCTGACCATATTATTCACAAATTGTGTAGCCACAAATGATTTATACATGTCATCACAAATTCATGCTTATAAAAACCTTTACAGCAAACCACGCTATCATGTTTTCTGTATATACCAAATATAGTATGCAAAATGTATTGTAGAAATCTTTAAAAGATTTTTAAAATATATATTAGGACTGGATTTTTTATTCCTCTGTCAATAAAGTCAGAACCTCTTTTTACTATGTGTCCAAGTGTATAAGAGTTAGAGGAAAAGAGCATTGTAAATAATAAAGTAAAACAACATTACCCAAAGTAATATTTTCTGTGCTGTAAATTGCATGTCTAATATCTCAGTACCACCCAGGGTTAGAAACAAGTGCTGTGTGTCCCATTGGCAGCCCTAAAGGAATGCAAGGTATTAGACTTTAAATAGGCAGCAGGACTTGAATAATGCCATTTTTGGACCCAGTCCAGAATACATTTTGGAGGAAATTTTACGGTTTTGGGGAGAAAGAAGGATATTTTTCTCTTGCAGGTTGTTTTTTGTTTTTAATAAATGGATGCTGTTTGAAGCTATTTACAGGTCTGGAATGTTAAAATATGTCCAGGGCGGTGGATCAGCAGGCAGAGTATGTATGAGAAGGTCAAAGGTGTATGATCAATACAATTTATTACATGGCGGAATTACAGTTTATTATGTGGCTAGCACCAATATAAATGCAATGCATCTGTAGCTATGAATGCATAAATATTCATTTAAGCGTTTTGTATTATGTATTATAACATTTTAATTGTTATTAATTTATTTACTGGTAGTCATTTTTATTCATCAAAGAACCCACTAGATAAAATTATACTGAGAGTGACTTCCATGTAATTAGATATAATAGGTTGTGTAAATCACAGAAGTTGAAAACAATATATCTTTCTGCAGACAATATTTAGCTGCATTTTGAAAATACATAGAGGGGAAAACCTGGTTTATACCTATTTGTTATGGCAGAAATCCAATATTTATCCTCTGTTATTACTGCAAAAAAATGGATCATTGGGATCAGAAAGAACAGCTGTTTTAATTATAAGATCCTGATATATCATATCAAAGTTTTCATCATCTTGGGCAAGCTCCAGAAATATACCCACAGGTTCATTTCAATCCACCTGCTTTTTCTGATGGATAAGATTACGTAGTCTAGAGAGCAAATCTGTTTCAGAATGTTGAGATACAGTCTGTATATGAAGAAGTTTTCTCCTCAGATTGATAATGCTATGGCAGCTGTTATTAATATAACTTTTACAATTTCTGTTACTTTGGTGGTGGTGGTTGTTAGGTAGTTATGATAATCAGGGGATTACATCCGCAGAGAAAGTTTCCATTACATTAAAGTCTCTTATGTCCCCCTGACACACATCTGCAGAATACTGAACCAGGCCAGGAGCATTTGGATATTCCCAGCTCTGGCAGGGCAAGCTGAGCGGTATAACATTAGCTTTTTTATGCTCTCTGGGTACCCTTTCTTTAAGGGAATGGCTCCTTTGTGTTTTAACAGATGCTATGCTCTTGGTAGCAGAGAGATTAGAGGGACCATTCAACATTGAATCAGTCATGGATCCTATCGATGTCAAGATTTCTGAAGCCATCATGAACATGCAAGAGAACAGTATGCAGGTGTCAGCAAAGGTACTGTGCAAGTCACTTATTATCCGCTCTTGAATGTTGCAGCCAGGGAAAAATTAGCAAGCCCTGTCTGCTATCCTCTGTCTATGAAGGATTGACCATGCTACTCAAAATTATAGTCTCTTGTCCTTGAGTGCACCTGGCCCACTCTAACTGTCTCACCTTGTTAAAAACTCTGTAGATTTTTTTCAAGCAAGAATGGCGTTGCAAAAAGTACCATTCAATTAGCTACATATTATTGGCTGCTAAAAGGTTTACGACAGACAAAGAATGTTGAATAATGTTTCATATTTGTTGGAAACTTTCTGTGGTTGCTTTATAAGAGGCAGTCTGCGGAGTGAGGTCTGTAACTTCCACATGTGCTTGGTCTGTGACTTTCCTTATTAACATCTAAACATGCTTTCATCTGTATAGGTCAGACTGATGCATGACATGCTGGAGGTGAATAAATTAAACATCCCGTTTAACCTCCTTTTAATGGCAACTCAGGAAAAATAGGATTATATTCTACTGCCTCTGATTATCAGACCTCAGTTTGATAGAGTCTTGTCTACAATCTGACATAGCAATAAACAGAGTTTCCTCCTTTCCATCTTCAGTGCGTGTATCTATGCATCCACCAGTAGCTCCTCTGAACTCATTATTATCGAGGTCCTTTGAATTCAGTAATAAGTATTGTTGAGCTGTTAGTGAACAACAGAAGACTTTTCCTTGATTTATCTTTAGTGGTACTCCTTGGTACAGTATCTGAAGTCAATAGTCTTGCCATCTTCTCTGCATCAAAAGACTGGCCAATTCCCATTGATCTAACACACTTGGGTATTCATGTCTGCTCAGCACTGCAAGGCTGCTAGCTGATTCAGTGCTTTTTCATTTCCCAGAAAGAAACTACTGTAACTAGGAAGTTGCGGGAGGGAGAAGTTTTGAGATTGTTTGTTTTAAAAATCCCCCAAACCTGCTATTTATGGACCCAGTCCTGCAAGGTGCTGAGCATTTCAATTCTCAGTGAAGTTGTTAGGATTTTAACAGTGCTCTACACCTTGCATGGTGAGGCCCTGTTCCTGCAGTGGTGATCTTAGAGCTCACCAGACACACTGAGAATCAAACCACACTCTCTCCTATACTGTGAGATTTATAGCCTGGCTTTGTAGCATACTCCACCCTTAAACCAAGAAAGAAGCAAAACTTTTCCTTAAAAGAAAAGTTTTCATTGAAAACTCACCCAGTCTGTATGTTCTAATCGATTTAATTTTCATTTTGATCGCTTGCTCCCCAGAGCAAGCAATGTTTTTTTTAATTGGCCAGGAAAAAGGCCTTCCTGCCTAGATCAATGACACCACCACTCCTTGGCATGAACTCAGCTCCCTTCTCACTTGCAATAATACAGACTTTTATCCTTTTACTGGAAAATATTTGAATTGCTGTAATGGTTGGTAAATCATGGGACTATTCCATTTGCACTGTAAAACTTTCATTTCTTGTGGGGAAGTCTGGTCACACCCTTCCTAAAATCCTGAGCTGTGGAAGCCATTTATAACAGTGAAATTAACCTTACTGTACTTTTATAGCTGATAGGGAAATCCTCTTGCTTGAGGCAGTTTTATTGATTACGGCTCCCTCACCTTTCTAGATTTAATCCATGCCTTTAGATCATGGCTCTCCAATAAGTCAGACCTCCTGTAGGTAAACCATAAAGTGTTCACCATAATAAGAGCTTGGGGCCTTGGATTGTTTTGGTTCAGTGATATGATCTCCTCTTGAAATTCTTCCGTTCCCACCTACCCTGAACATTAATGATATGCCTCATGCCTGTGTCATTAATCTCTGACTCCAGAGAAGAGGAAAATCATTCTTCAAAATCAGTTGTCGTGAACCAGGGGACTGAAATGCATTGCATATCATTTACAAATTTCCCTTCAAGAATACAACAGCATTCACAACTGGATCTTCTTCTTAGCATATACGCAACATGCTTCAGGTGGCATGTAACCAGCAAATTTGGTCCACTGGTTGGATCTTTAGCTTCCCTGCGTCAGGGCAGGTACAGATGGGGAGTGCGACGTGAACGCTGATCCATGCCCCTCCCCCCCCCCCCCCCCACACACACACACACACAACTGGATTATAATAGTCATCTTTTGCTTATAAAAATATGTGTGTTGCATAATATACCTATGTATGCCACCTTCTGATCCATTGATATACATGAATACCATGTATTAGTAGACTTTGAATCAGTTTTCTGCAGTGTAAATTTTTCCATTTATAGCTACTGCCCTCCCTGGATATAACTTAGATGAAAATTAAATATAGATATAATTTGGCTGCATAAAAGAGAATTTCAGAGCTGATCTAGGAAGACATTTACATTTGTCAGTTATTCTCAAACTCTAGGAGGAAAACGTATCAAATACCACTTTCTGCTGGAAAATATTAGATAAATTAATGGATATTGACACTAGAGATTTAACACACTCCTTGGGCAGCATACTATTTTTCCAGTATTACATTTTTTCCAGACAATTCTGGACTATACATTAGACTGACCCCTCTCTCAAGATGGATTGATTAGGGCTCTCAGTCAGCATACCACTAGCCTCTAAATGTAGCATTGTCTCTTGTGAAAATTATACTGTAATATACATATAATGTCATGCATACACACATAGAGGCTTCACTTTACCCACCACTGAAATGCAGTCACTGCTACTGAGAAATCTGGCTGTTGTTTAACAAGTCAGTTTATCTACTGGTGTAAACTGGTGCAGCTGTCTTCAAATCAACAGAGCTATCCCAGTTTACCAACTGAGAATTTGACCCTTTCAGTTTGGCATGGTGTACCTGGGGCAATCTCTCTGAAAGACATCTTGATAACTCCTTCCTATATACCTGACACAGCCTCATAGTTATTTTACTCCAAATTCCATCCCTCTCCTGATTCAAATATTTTCTGAAAGCCTGCCTGAATATAATCTCACCAATTTGTGTTTGTTTGTTGAGCAAGGCACTGTTCTGTATTGGGCCTACTGTGATTTTATATTGGAATTTCTTTGGGACAAGGATCATATTTTTGGCACAGTTCACCTATTATACAGTGCTATATAAATAAATAAAAAGGTATGCTCCTGTGTGAATAATGGTGGCCATCAATGCCAAAGCAGCAGTAACAAAAACATATTACGTCTCAGTTTTTAATGTTCATTGTTTATCCTTCCTTTCTTTTTGAGTGTTAGATTGGATATTGAAGTACCTATCCAGTTTCCTACGCCTGCATATATACGATAGATATTCAGTACCATTCTTGGTGCTCTCCTTCTGCACAGTCTTCTGTTCATTTTTTCACTTTATCCTCTCATCTGTTAGATGCTATAGGGTTTCGGTCTTAGCTAATGTTTTGGATGTTTTTTCTCTAAATTCTCGAATGGCCCATTGACATTAGTGGGAATTGGATTGTTCCCTAAATCAATGGGACTACTCGTGCTTAAAGTTAGGCATGTCTGAGTACTTCTCTGAATCAGGTCTGAGTGTCTTACATTTCATTCCTCCTGTTTCCTGCACAACTTCTTTGATTTCTTTACTTGTATTCTTTACGACTGTTATGCTAATTATCTGTTTGTTAATTAACTAATCCATATATTTATTCCTTCAGTATATGTCAGCAAGTTAGTATTTGTTCTAATTCTCTCTTTTGCAGCTAAAATCTGGGATTGATACTTCAGGGTTCTCTGACAGTATTTTCATTTTGTATCCCCTATTTCCCCAGGAACTCTGTCGGTGAAATGTAGGATTTGAATGTCTTCATCATATGTTACTGCTATTGGGAATGTTGGTAGTTTATTTTTATTGTATGTTTTGTAAACTTTGTTGTTGTCCTTTTCTGGCAAAGAATGATATGCTGGCAATTTTGATTAAGGATGGATCATTTGGGTATAAACCAAACCCAAATCACCCTTTGTGCTACGGCTTCGTTGAGAGAGTGGGACAGGCTTGGCACGGTATGCAGAGTTAAAATGTAATAGCTGACTGGTGATGTCATTGCACACCATCTCTGTGTTTGAAGAAAGTGAGAATTAAATTGGCAGATGTCAGCAATAGTTCTAGGCTGTCTGGCAAGGACAAATACATAACACTACCACAGGCAGCTTGGACATTTCTTCTAGCTTGATCCACCATTACCAACACAGGAGAAAAAATGGGTTCCCCAGTATTATCAAAACTACACTTCCTCTTCTCCAAACTTCTCTCTCTCTCTCTCTCCATACACACACACACACACAGTTTTTTTAAAAAGAAAGCAGACGGTTACCTTCCAGACCTCAGATGCCTAAACTGATTCATTCAAATCCCAAAGTTGAAATACTAACCTTCAAGCCATCAATTCACACCATAAAACCAGCAGGCTGGATGTTGTCCAGAAATCTATAAGGTGTATTCTTTCACATACCTAATAGTTTTTTGTTCAGGAAATGTTCATGTGCCCCTTCTTAGTCTACATTTTGAAATCCCAAGACTCATCTTTTCACTTCCTGTCCTGTCCCTTACCACCTGCATTAAGGTTAGAAAATGTCCCTTTTGTGTAGTTAACAAACTGTGGATTGCATCTTCATTGTATTATTGTGAGATAACTTTCAAAGGAGAAGATGATTTCTCCTCTCCAAATCTGTAGAGTTCTGCCGTTGTCTGGTTGCATGCAAATTTGATGACAAAAACATACACAATGCAAGAAAAAACTTTTATATTTCAACAAATGCATCAAAATCTGTACCAATTCTCCAATATGTGATAGAAAAAAATGAAATAGAAATAGAAAGAAAAAATACCATACTTGAAGAGAAATGGGATTACTAGCAGTTCACGAGAACAGTATGCAAATTTAGGCAAATTGTTTGTGTTTGGTATTAGAGCTGGTTGAAAAACAGAATGTCCATCCACAGGGAATTCTGATATTTCAAAATTTGTTTTCATCCTTAATTGAGACAAAAAGATGAAATATCAAACGTTTTCACAGAACAAAAAATTTAAAAAAAAATTATTCAGAAAAGTCTAAACAAAAATTTTCAACATTTTTGACCAATACAAACCATTTTGACATGAAATATCAAAACACAATGCCAATTCATATTGAAACGCTTTGTTTCTACATGTCAATCTAAAACAAAAAATTGTTTGGAAAGGTCAATTTGATTGTAAATGACATTAGAATGAAATGTTAAGTTAAAATATCAATTCAAAATGAAACTTTTTTTAAAATATCATGAGAAAAATCATAAAATATTGGTGAAATTGACTTTTGCCATGGAAATATCAGTTTCAGTGCAGCCATATTTTCCAGTGAAAAAAACGTCGGAAAATTTTTGACCAGCTCAATTTGGCATTATGAATACCTGGGGCCCTACCTATCAAAGTTGTCTTTATAACTGTACCCTGTATGCCAGAAACATCCTTACTTATTTTAACCCTATTGTATAGCACTGGGTACACTCAGAGTACTATGGTAAGAGTACTAAGTAAGACTCCAATTCAGCAAAACACTTAAACAAGTACCTGTATTTAACTTTAAGTGTATGAATAATTCCATCCTGGTTCAGCAAAGCACCTTGCTTAAGTGTTTCCCTGAATAAGGACAAGATTGCTCATGTGCTAAAAGTTAGGTATAAGTTTAAGCACTTTGCTGAATGGAGGCTTAATAAGTTAAGAATGACGACTGTCTGCTCTTCTGTGGATAATTCTGGCCTTCAGTTTCAAAGCAGCAGCAGAAAATCTTATAGCGAAACCTCCACATGACTCATTTTTTTAAAAAGTTGAACGTCTGTTTGTGTTAGAGTTGCCAACTTTGTAATTTTTAAAAACCAGACACTCCAGCAGGAGTGCTGGAACTTCCCCAACAAGGCCTTACCTCATCCCCTGAGGCCCCTGCCCTACTCCGCCTTTTCCCACTGAGGCCCTGCCCCCCGTTCGTTCCTCTTCCCCCATCCTTCCAGAGCTTGCTATTCTTCACCTCTCCTCCCAGGTCGAGAAGGACTCACCTACAGAGCCGGGGCTGGGAGCTGCAGCTGCCCAATGCAGGTAGGAGGTGGCCCCAGCTGAGTAAGGGCTGGCACTGGTGGTGACCTGGTGCCTCCTCACCTACCCTGCCCACAGTAACCGGACTTTGGGTCTTCACTATGAAGTCCCCTTTACGACTGGACTTTCTGATAGAAAACCGGGCACCTGGCCACCCTAGTTTGTGTGAAGGCTGGTGAAGTTAAAATCCAGCTTTCATTATCTATAGATATATAATAGATATTCAATAGGATCCCTAGTGCTCTCCTTCAATATGTGCAGTAAAAATAGCACTGCTTATATTCTACTGATTTTTTTCCAAATTTTTTTTTATTCAGACTTTATAATTAACTCAAACTGGTGCCTCTGAAAACTGCCAGACTGACATCCCTGAGACATATCTTTATCCAGTGAACAAGAACAATGGTAGAACATACTCCTCATGATTGCCCAGTCAGTGTACCTCAGCTCTGATGTGCAGAGACCATCTTTTAGGGGGATAAGAGGCTAGTTAAGTTATAAGGCCATTGAGCCCTTGACCTCTCTTCTGAGACTGCCAACAAGATTACCAATTAGTGCCAATTGTGGTTGGGGGGAGGGGTGGGTTTGTGGATACCTAACAGGTCTTAACTTAATTTGAAACCAACTGCAGCTGCATCCAATCACAAAAGATTTTTTTTTCTTGTTTCTCTTTCTGGCGGGATAACAACCCAAACATCATTCAGATGTTAGCCCATTTCAATGACTACCAAAATGGGCTAAATTCAAAATGTGACCTAGATGAAAAAGGCCCTATACATTACTGCAAATCCCTTGAATAGATCTTAGTAATGATGTCCGTCGAAGTTTTGAGTTAGGGCTGGTAGTTAATTCATTATTACCAGGATACCGATGCTAAGTTACAAACCTATGAATGGGATATTGCACTTGTAAAGTATCACTCTTCCTTTTTAAAGGTTTGATGTAACCTAAAATGCTTCTTTCAGGTCTTTCAAGGATGTGGCCAGCCTAAACCAGCTCCTGCTTTAAGATCTTCCCGCTCTGTTCCCGAGAACTTCAATACCCGCTTTAGGCCATATAATCCTGAGGAGAGACCAACAACAGCTGCTGGCACAAGTTTGGATAGACTGGTAAGTAATAACATTTGCTATCTTCTCTCATTAGGCTAGCAGAGATGGAGGGGGAATTTTGCTTTGAGAATATTCCTTCACAGGAGATGTTTAATATTTTCATAATTACTGTATGTAATTATCATATACGCTGTGCAACTTTGTAGTAAACAAATGACTTTTTACATTGAAAACAGTAAGGAAATTACATGTCTTTGGAGACCAGTATGACTCAGATTTGATATATTGGAGAGATTGGAAAGTGATAAACTCTTTCCTTCTGGTCATGAATTAGATAGATGATTCAAGGAAAATACTTATTAATATATTTCCTTTGAAAAAAATTGTTTACATCAGATCTCCATTTAAGTATTAAATTAAGGATTCAGCAGCCAGTTCTTCAATATATGCACTTATAATGTGCATTTCTCATTCATCAGGTCCAGTGCTTCATTTAATATGGCTGTTTGTAAAGTTACCGTCGGCTTTTTTTTACAACACACTCTTTAAAAATAGGCTTTTGATAAGCTAGCATGTAAGTGATCACTAATCTTGCCTTATTTATTCAGTAATTTTAAAAACAATCATCTTAATATAAAGTTATTTTAGTTATTTCAAGTCAGTGGATTCAGATCTCAGACAACAATATTCCTGCTATTTGTACACCTATAAAGTGGATTTAAGGATATGTAATTATTAATGTTGTTAATATTATTTTGCAGTTATGGTGTAAAGTTAATGGATAAAAGCATTAAGGACATAAAGCACCTAAACCAAAGCTGTTTGCATTATGTAAACACAGTCTATTGTACTTCTTAATGAATATTAGAAAGCATACCTTCCATACTTTTTACTTAATATCATAAAATTAGAATCGTAAGCTTAAATTGGTTTGAGCTGCTTCCTGATACACAGGTGAGTTTCAGTATTTAAGGAGAAATTTTATATGCTTCTAATTCAAAACAAGATCCAGGTCCCTATTTTATACAATCATTTCAGATCAGCATTCAGGTCACACTTGCCATCAGTATCTGGCCCAAGCCGTGGAAGCTAATGATCCAACCAGTGGACCAAATTCGGGTGATGAATCCTGGTCACATGCCACTTGAGGCATGTTGTGCATATGCTAAGAAGAAGACTAGCTCCTCTTATAATTAAAGTAGCACTCAAGGCTGCCAAGTCTTTCCCATAGTCTATATTATAATGTATCTTACACCTTAATTTGTGATATTTCAAATCAGGACATGGGCTTGTATTATAGTTGTACTAACTTTAAGCAACAGCTGTGGCACCCAGTAATTCTGGCAACAGTGTAGCTTGTTTCCCCCTAAAACAAAAAGGTAAAATCTATGTTTGTCTCCATGATAGATTCAGATGATTGGTTTACAAACATGAAGGAAGCATATTACAGTGTAACACTTTAAACTAAGATTTAGCCATAGGGTGAAATTCTGGCCCCAATTAGAGTGAATGGCAAAACTCTAATTGGCTTCAGTGGGGCAGGATTTCCCCCTTAAGGGTATGTCTACACTGGAGCAGGAAGGTATAATTCCCAGCTTGAGCAGACATACTCACATTAGCTCTCATCAAGCTAGGGCGCAAAAAGTGGAGTGGCCCAAGGGGCTAACCACTGTGACTATACACCATGGGTCTCTGACAGGTGCTCAGAACAACTATCCCTCTTGCTGCCACACTCTGTTTTTAGCATGGTAACATAAAAAGTGCTAGTGTGGGTATGTCTGCTTGAGCTGGAAATTACACCTTCCAGCTCCAGTGCTGTTATTACTCAAAGTCTGTATTCGTAGGCTCCAATTCTTCACCCTGCTCCATGCAAGTGCAAGGCTCCTTCTGCATGGATGCACATACAGCACTGGGGCTACAGCCAACTGAAAGCTCATTGAAGCCGGGGGAGTTTGGAGTGCTCAAGGAATTAAGTTACAGGATATAAAGGGGCCAGTGGGAGGAGAGGGGTTAAAAAGGAAAGTTGGTAGTAATAGTTCATCTTGAACTACTTCTATATACCAGGAGCAGCTAAAGCAGGGGTGGGCAAACTTTTTGGCCCGAGGGCCACATCTGAGTGGGGAAATTGCATGCGGGGCCATGCAGGAGCTGGGGCAGGGGGTTGTGGTGCGGCAGGGGGCTCAGGACAGGAGATTGGGGTGCAGGAGCGGTGTGTGGCAGGGGGCTCAGGGCAAGAGGTTGGGGTGCAGGAGGAGTGCAGGGTGTGGCAGGGGGCTCAGGGCAGGGATGTAGGAGGGGTGTGGTGTGCAGGAGGGGGCTCAGGGCAGGGGGTTGTGGTGCAGGAAGGGTGCGGGGTGCAGCAGGGGGCTCAGGGCAGGGGGTTGGGGTACGGCTGGGGGCTCAGAGCAGGGGGTTGGGGTGTAGGAGGGGTGTGGTGTGCAGGAGGGGGCTC